CTGCTTGGAATGGAGGGGCTAAGTACCCTCAAACCCTCTGTCCCTGGGGCCACACATCCTATCTGTTAGGGGAGATGTGTCTCAACTGTCCCCCAAATCATCCCAAATGAACAGGGCCTGAGGCCCTGGGGAGCCACTGCAGGGGTCTTGGCATGCTATAATTTGATTTGCAACTTTATAATTCCACTCTGGTTATTCTGCTGACTAGAGACTGCAGCGGGTGAAAGGGTGGACATAGGGAGACCACTGTAGTAATCCAGGTTCTAAGAAAGATATGATGATTTGGGGCTGGGGTTGTGGCTCAGTAGTAGAGCACTTACCTAGCATGTGTGAGACACTGGGTTCAATCTCTGGCACCACATAAAAATAAAAACAGATAAATGTGTTCTATCCATCTACAATTAAAAAAAAAGATATGGTGTGGAACTAGAGTGGAGGCAGAGGAGAGAACTGGATTTAAAATAGGGGTCAGAGATCTAAGTCATGCCTTAGCTGTTGAGAGGAAGAAGAAATCAGTGACTCTCATCTTTCTCCCCTCCAAAACCCACTGCTGGGTTTCTGAATGAGTAATTGGGACGGTAAGAGCTACATGATGAAGATGGGGAGCACCAGGGTTGATTAGGGTTGAGGGTAAGGTCAAGGTTTTCATTTTGAACAGGTTATAGTGGGGCATATCTAAGAGAAAATAGGAATCTCTGTTGGTCCAGAAATAAGACTTTAGACCCCTTACATATAGGAAAGGCTGCTATTATCTAAGGAAAGCATATGGGGTGAAATCTGAACCCAAGGATAAACTCAAAGGTTTCTTGTATTTGGAAATTAAGAAAAAGGTGGAGTGGGCAAGAGTGGAAAACAGCAAGATAAGTACTAGAGAAGGGAGAGAAACAAAGTGAGGGTTTATAAACAAGCTCTCAATTAACTTAATCCCTGCTAGTAGGGCAAGAATCTCCCTAACTATAAGGATCCAACTTGCTAGGAGAAGCAGGTGCCCATTCTCAGGGAGACTTCAAGCAAATAGAAAAATTGAATCGGAAATTCTAAATCTCATCTCAATGATAGAGACCCAGGTGGCTTCATTGGTGAATGTCATAAAATATTTTAGAAAAAAAAAATCCTTCAAAAACTCTTACAGAAATAAGATAAGAAACACTTTCACATGCCTGTAATCTTAGCAACTCAGGAAGTTGAGGCAGAAAGATAGTAAGTTCCAGGCCAGCTTCAGCAGCTTAGTGAGGCACTAAGCAACTTTGAGAGACTTGGTCTCAAAATAAAAAAATAAAAAGGGTTGAATATGTAGTACAGTGGTAAAGTGCCTTTGGGTTCAATCCCCAACACAGGTTATAGTGTGTGTGCGCGCACACATACACACACACACACACACACACAGAAAAAGAAAAAGAAACACATCCAACTCATTCAATGAAGTTAGCATTACCAACTAAAGACATCACAAGAAAACTACAGAAAAAAATCTGTTGTGAATACAGATGCAAAAATACTTCACAAAATATTAGCAAATCACATCCAACATCATAAAAACCCCCACTAAGTGGGATTCATCTCAGAAATGCAATATTGGATCAATATCTTGAAAACTAATTAATGTTATAACTATATGAACAGGCTAATGGACAAAAAACACGTCACCTCCAAGATGAAGAAAAATCTTCTGATGAAATCTAACACCCATTCTCAAAAAACTAACAATAGTATGAAACTTTCTCAACTTGAAAAAGGTAAAGAATGGGGGCTGGGATGTGGCTCAAGCGGTAGCACGCTCGCCTGGCATGTGTGAGGCCCGCGTTCGATCCTCAGCACCACATACAAACAAAGATGTTGTGTTCGCCAAAAACTAAAAAAATAAGTATTAAAAAAAAAAGGTAATGAATGAAAATTCCATAATTTAACATCAGAGTGAATGGTGAAGGACTGAATGTTTTCCTCCCCAAGATTAAGAACAAGTCAAGGATATTAACTTTTGCTACTTCCAGTCAACCTTGTATAGGAGGTTCTGTCTAGTGGAATAAGGCAGGAAAAATGAAAGATAACCAAATTGGAAAGAAAGAAATAAAATTGTCTTTATTAACAGATGATATGATCAAGTATTTAGATGGTCCCAAGGAATGTACACATACACACACACACACACACACCACAAAAATTTTAAAAGATGAATGGACAAAATTTCCATGTTTACAGAAGGCTTTATATTGTCAAGATGGCAGTTCTCAAATTAATCTATAAATTCCAGTGCAATATCTATTAAAACCTCAAGGGTATGGGGGTATAGTTCAGTGGTAGACCATTTGCCTTCCATGTGTGAAGTCCTGGGTTTGATCCCCAGCACTGTAATAAACAAATATACAAAAAACTCAGAAAAGACTTTCTGTAGAAACTGACAAGCTGATCATAAAGTTTACGTGGGAAATCAAAGTACCTAGAAAAGTCAAAATCATTTTGAAAAAGAACAAAGTTGAAAGCCTTCAGCTTTATGATTTAAAGCCAGAGTAATCAATATTACACAATTATGAACAGGCATATAGATCAATGAAAACAGAGATGAGAGTCAAGAAATAACCCTTATACTTAGGATCAACTGACTTTTTTTTTAATATTTATTTTTTTTTAGTTCTTGGCGGACACAACATCTTTGTTTGTATGTGGTGCTGAGGATCAAACCCGGGCCGCACGCATGCCAGGACAGCGCGCTACCGCTTGAGCCACATCCCCAGCCCCAAGTCAACTGACTTTTTTAAAAAAATATTCTTTTAGTTGTAGTTGGACACAATATCTTTATTTTATTTATTTATTTTATGTGGTGCTGAGGATTGAACCCAGCATCTTGCATGTTCTAGGTGAGTGCTCTACCGCTGAGCCACAACCCCAACCTCTGGTCAACTGATTTTGACAAAGGCACCAAAGCAATTCAATGGAAAGTATAATCTTCATAACAAATGGAAATTCACACATAAAAAGATTAGAGAGCTTCCTTATACCATAAACAAAAAATAATTAAAAATAAATCATATATCTACATGTAAGATTGAAACTATAAAACTTCAAAAAGTTAAGCTATTACAAACAAAAGCATAATGTGATAAACTGAACTTCATCAAAGTTAAAGAAAACTTTCACAATTCAAATTGGGCCCAGTGGTACACATTTGTAATCCCAGCTACTCAGGAGACTGAGGCAGGGAGATGGAAAGTTCAAGGCCCACCTGAGCAATTTTGCAAGATCCTGACTCAAAGTAAACATTTTAAAAAGGGCTGGAAATGTAGCTCAGAGGCAGAATGCTCCCAGGTTCAATCTCCAGTACCAACCCCTCCCACCAAAGGCACCATTAAGAACATGAAAAGATAAGCCAGGTGTGGGAGGCTGAGGCAGGAAGATCATCACAAATTCAAGCAGTTTAGTGAGAACCTCAGCAATCCAGCAAGACCCTGTCTCAAAAAAATGAAAGGGGGAGAAAAAGTGAAAAGAGTTGGGGACATCATAGCTCAATGGTAGAGCACACCCCCCCTTAGGTTCAATCTCTAGTATTAAAAAAAAAAAAGAAGGAAGGAAAAAGAAAATAAAAGAGGGCTGGGGATGTGGCTCAAGCGGTATCGCGCTCACCTGGCATGCGTGCGGCCCAGGTTCGATCCTCAGCACCACATACCAACAAAGATGTTGTGTCCGCTGAGAACTAAAAAATAAATATTAAAAAATTTCTCTCTCTCTCTCACTCTTTCTTTAAAAAAATAAATAAAAGACACAGACTATATAAAATCATAGCCCTGATAAAGGATTTGTATGATTTGTATTCAAAATATATAAAGAATTCTTACAACTTATTAATAAGACACATGACCCAATTAAAAAATGAGCACAGGCTGGTATGCGCTCGCCTGGCATGTGTGGGCCACTGGGTTCGATCCTCAGCACCACATAAAAATAAAATAAAGATGTTGGGTTCACCGAAAACTGAAAAATAATATTAAAAAAAATTCTGTCTCTTCTCTCTCTCTCTCTTTAAAAAAAATGAGCACGGTTTGAATAGATATTTCATCAAAGGCACACAGCTAACAAGCATATGGAATGATGCTGAAAATCATTAGTTGAAACAGAAATGCAAATTTAAACCCAATGAGATGCCATTTTGACCCCACTAGAATGGCTATAATTAAAGAAGAAAGAGGGGATGAGGTGTAGATGGGTGATAGAGCACATGCTTAGCATGAGTGATTTCCCTGGGTTTGATTTCCAGCGCTGCAAAACAAAACAAAACAAAAACTTGCTGGGTGGGTACGGTAGCCCATGTTTTAATGCCAGCTATGCAGGAGCCTGAGGCAGGTGGCTCACACAAGCCTAGGCCAGGTTGGGCAATTTAGTGAGAACCTGTATCATAATAAAAAATAAAAAGGGCTGGGATGTGGCTCAATGGTAAAGCACCACTGCTTGTAGTCTCCAGTACTACAAAAAGAAGAAAAAAAGAAAAACCAAAGAACAGGCCTGAGTGTTGGCAAGGACAGGGAAACTATACATTGCTGGTGGAAATATAAAATGGTATAGCCACTTTGGGAAAGTTTAGCAATTTCTCAAAGAGTTAAACATAAACAGCATATGAACCAGCAATTCCTCTCCTAGCAACCTATCCAAGAAGAATGAAAACATATGTCCACTAAGACCTATACATGAATATTCACAGTAGTATTATTCAGTATAGCCCCAAATTGGAAACCATCCATCAATTGATGAATAAAATGTGGTATATCCATACACTGACATACAATTCAAAAATAAAATAAAAGGAACAAACTGAAACATCCTACATGAAAGAACCTCAAAAACATTAACCTAAAATATGCAGCTGGGCTGGGTGCAGTTGTGCATGCTTATAACCTCAGCAGCTCAGGAAGCTGAGGCAGGAGAATTACAATTCAAAGCTAGCCTCAGTAACTAAGTGAGGTCCTAAGCAATTTAGCAAGAATCTGTCTCAAAATTAAAAATAAATAAATAAAAGGGTTGGAGCTATGGCTCAGTGGTTCAATGCCCCTGGGTTCAATCTTGATACCAAAAGAAAAAATATGAAGCTGGGGTTGTAGCTCAGTATCAATGGTGGAGCATGTGTGTGCTTAGTATGTGCAAGGCTCTGTTTGATCCTCAGCACCAAAATAAATAAATAAATAAATAAAAAGAAAGCCAGACACAAAAGATCACATATTGTGATTCATTTACACAAAACAAGGGGCAAGGGATGTAGTCCAGTGGTAGAGTGCTTGCCTGGCCTAGCATGCACTGGTTCCTGGTGGGCTCTGGGTTTGATTTCTGACACTGAAAAGGAAAAGGAAAAAAATAGTATATAAATCAATTCACATAAAATGAACAGGAAAGGAAAACTTATAGAGACAAAAAGTAAACTATTGCTTGAAGATGGGGATGGGGAAGAGGATTAACTGCAGGAACTTCTTGGAATGCTAAAAACATTTAAAAATGGTAATGGTTATATAACTCTATACATTTACGAAAAATTAGTGAACATTTAAAGTGGATGAATTTTAAGCTTTATAAATTATGCCTCAATAAAACTACTGGAAAAGCAATGATGTGAAATGGAGGAAGCAGGAGGTGGTGACCAAAATGTGGAAATACTTGACTGTCTGTAGATATTCCAAGAAGTAGTTATTGAGGCTCTTCTTTGTGCCCAATGCTAGGCACACAATAATAGAGACTTCCAAGGAGCTGATCACCAAGCATGGACTACCACATACAACAGATGAGCAAACAGGCCTCTGCATAGGGACACCAAGCCTACTCTGTTGTTGCAGGAACAAAACCTAAACTGAGACCTTAAAGGATAGTTTTAGGGAGGCTTTGTGGAAAGAAGTGCCATATTGTGGTGTCCCTTCTGCCATGAAATGGAATTTAGGTTTATATGAACTGTAAAACTAGAAAAAGAGAATTCACTGGGGGAACTGAACTAGTAGTGTTAATGAGAAAAACATCTCTTTACCACATACTTAGGATAATTCTAAGATAACTGGATTAATATTGCATAAATTTTTTGGTTGTGTACTGTTATATTATTATGAAAACGAGCAGTGCTGGACTTTGGGGTGAAGAGAAGTGGGCTCTGAGGCTAGTTGTGAGAGAAGAGTTCAAAGAACAGAACACAAAACAAACAAAAAGCAGATGAGTCTTCTCACCAGTCTACTCTTCACCATGGTTCTAGTGGAGAGAGTTGCTGCTTATGTGGAAAGGCCTGGGAATACTTTATAAGCATTTGGCCTTTCTCCCCCAGCACAGAGCCCTTAGATAATCTGGTTGCCTGATTTAGCACAAGGTACTCTCTTTTATGATCTTCTGCTCATTGCCCATCATGGTAGGTGCTGAGCTTTCCACACATTGGACCTGGAGGCTAGACGATTCTGTTGCTTCCGGATTGAAGGTGAACCAGACTGAGTATGAACATCTGCTCTCAATTCTTGACAGTACCACTGATGACTCAGGTTAGTAGACAGTTAAAATGAATGGTGTAGTGGGCACAATGGTGCACATCTGTAATTCCAGCTACTTGGGAGTCTGAGGTAGGAGGATCACAAGTTCAAAGCCAGCCTGGGAAACTCAGCAATACCCTATCTCCTAAAATTAAAAAAAACAGAAAGGGCTGGAGGGGTAGCTCAGTAGTAGAATGCCCATGGGTTCAATCCCTAGTACTGGGCAGGGCGGGGGGCGGGGGAGCTCCCTGCTCTTAGGGATTACTGAGAGGACCAAGTGAGAATTGAGTGGTTATATGTGAAACATGGGGGCTATGTGGGATATAGCACCCTCCCCCCAAAAAAGTTGCCATCCAAGAGTATCACCAATGAATGAGACAGACCACAAGCTGACTTTCCATATATATATATGTATATATAATGTATGTATGTATTCCCTTCAACCCCCAGTGTTGGGGATGGAACCCAGGGCCTTGCACATGCCAGGCAAGTGCTCTACCACTGTGTTGCACCTTAGCCCACAAGCTGACTTTTGTTAAAGCCGGAGTGATGACTCACATATGTAACCAAAGAGAACACAATGTAACCTTAGGAAGGCAGATCTGGAACATGGCTGTATTTGGGTAAGTGGAAGCTAAAAGCAGTTCTTATCACCAAGTAACCTGGACCACCTCAGAGTGCTGAGCTGTACCCCAGTCCTGGGAACCCCACTCTGAGGAGGGACCTAGAAATAAATATGTGGTTTGAAATTGTCCCAGCAGCTTTCATGTGTGTACCCAAGCACTTCTGCCCAAAAGCATAAAAAAGGAGCTGGAGGTATTGGTTTCCAGCAGTCAACAGGGCAGCTGTGTTCCATTAGGGAATTCTGGAGTTTTCCGACAGCTGAGTGAAGAGAAGGGGAAACCTGAGAGCAATGGAGGGCTGGACAGGAACACAGATGCAGCAGCAACATGCAAATGGAGTCTGCGTTTCCCCACCAGAGCTCATCTGATAAAAGACATCTTTTCAAAAGCTGCTTTTGCTGTATGTACACCTGGCATTTCCCTTGTTTTCACAAGACTATTCATATTTTATCCAATATATTTATTCACTGAATCACAGTAAAAATATGATTTACTTATAATAGTTAAAAAATAAATCAGAAAAGAGCAAAAACTATTAGGTGTGTTCTCTTTATTTCTCTTTGGTTTCTTAACACAAAAGACATGCGTTCCATAAATAAAAGATATTCTGTGAAATGATAAATTGGGGTGGAGGGGACTGAACTCCTACCCAGTCAGATCTCTCTGTTGTGAAGTCAAGAGGCTGGTCTTTAGCTTCTATCTGGCACAATTTCAGGTGAGACCCAGAAGGGGAGGCTCTGGGTGTCATCCAAGGTGAAGTGTCCAAGGACAATGAAAGCTATAGTCCTCTGTTCAGAGGTGGGCTAGACTCCAAGCCCGCTGAGCATCTTCCCTACTTTATTTTGGGGTACTGAGGATTGAACTCAGGGGTGCTTAACCACTGAGCCACATCCCCAGCCCTTTTTAATATTTTATTTAGAGACAGAGTTTTGCTGAGTTGTTAAGAGCCTTGCTTAGTTGCTGAGGCTGGCTTTGAACTCACAATCCTCCTGCCTCAGCCTCCCGAGCTGCTGGGATTACAAGTGTGCACCACCACACCCAGCTGCCCTACCTCCTTGTTAAAACCTTTCCACAATACCTTGGGCTGTGCCTCTTCTTTTCATGGTGCTATTGGAAAGATTCCAACACTGAAGAGCCAGACCAGCCCTTTGGGATCTGACTGGGTGAGTGTAAAAAAATTAGTGTTTGCTCAGTTGTGCTCAGAGCCCAGATGAAAGCACTTGTTTGATCTTACATGGAAAACAGTGACCTCAGGTGTGCAGTGCAACTTCTACGGTAGGAGGTGGGAGTGGACTCAGGAAGGCCACCACGAGAGCAGCAGACTCTGGGAAATATCTATCATCCACAATGGCATCCTGAGGACCCAGCAAGACCTACTCAACAGCTACTAGATGAGCTCTTCACAATCTAGGCTCATCAGTGCTGCTTCAAATTCACAAACGAAAGGGTCCATAACAAGATGAGCACTGATACACTCTTCTTAACCGGAAATGCAGACCCCAACTTCCTTCAGAGTCTACCTCTGTAGACAAACCAATGGGGAGTGAGAAATGCTGGGGCTTCCCAAGAGCCCAGGCTATATCAGCTACCAGATTGTTGAGTCTATTAAAATAAAAACATCACTTTCAAGTGCTTGTAGCAGAGGCCCAGCTCCTAAGTTGCAGGCAACAAAGGTCCTTCCCTCTGAGTACATGGCGATTGCACACACAGGTGAACCTGATGGTCCTGGGGTGGGAAGACAGCCCCAGCTCCACACTGTGCCTTTCTGAACAGGCTTCCAGGCCACTCCAGGAAGGCAGCAGAGGACAAGAAACCAAACAGGTGGAGAGTGGGACCCTAAGACTCAGTCTTGTGCTAAAAGGAATCGTATCCTCTTTTAGTCCTTTACTGGAAGAATTTTAGAAAACCAGATTTTGGCAGCAGCAGTTGAAGGACACCCCCACTGCCCAGTGCACTGGTAACAAAAAAGTCCTCCTTTTTGGGTCCTGCTGTGCTACATTAAGGTCCCATCCAGGGGGTAGGAGGAAGGAGCATAGAGTCTTTTCACGAGGTCATTTGCCAAGATTAGAGGAAAAGATATAAAATCTGTTCTTTGCAGCAGCAAAAGATTCTTTCAGCCTTTTGTTTTTTTATGTCATAAAGCCAGTTTTGCTTGAATGTAAAGATCCACCTTGCTGGTTGGTCTGCCAAGGAATACAGGGAAGACAGACCCCTGGAATTGGCGAGGTGATGGTGGAACAGTGGAATGGCAGGGCAGATGAGGTTACCAGACCAAGCTAGCTCATGGCTGGTAGAAGGAGCAAGCCCCTGGTTAAGTTCTAGAGGTACGAATGGCAATGTGCCCCAGCAACATTATAATGAGGAAAATTATACAAGAATGATACATGGGCAAGTAAGAGTCTATGAAATGCCATTTCCTGCTGGTCAAAAAAGGAAGGAATGTAAGTGGGAATGGGGAATCTGAATGAGTGCTGTGGTGGCAGTGGGAGATAATCACAGGGGCATCTGGAGCCTACGGCGACAGCCAGGAGCTCCCACCTAGAAGAGTGGCAGTAATTCAGCAGACTCGCTAAGCCTACAATTAAAAAAGTCCTCTGATGGTGGGTGTGGAAGACAAACCCCATGAGCACCTTGCTCTAGGACCAGTCGAGAATGCACTGATTCCAGACACAGTGGGGCTCAGAGGGAACCCCATCTTCTTTGCGAGGCCTCAGGACCCTGGGATCCGAATATGGGAGTAGATACCGCCATGCTCGAGTTTGACGGTTTTCCGTTTAAATATATATTTGCTTTTAGTGTCTTTATATTTTCTTCCTGCAAAAAATTGTTCACTTAAAAAAAAAAAGGTATTTTATTTCCAGTTTCTTTCAAGTGTTTCTTTGTTTAAATTTCCTTCAGTTTCTTTCAAGTATCATTTTCCCTTCTGATTCTCTTGGGCAAGATGAAAAAGATCTCATTGAAATCCCAAAATTAGACATGGGAAAGACTTCTGTCCTCCCTGCTTACCCAGAGACAAGGATGAAATCCTCGGTGCACTACGGTGGAGGAAGAAGCATGCTTGTGTGCCACCAGCACGCTGCTGTAGTTGCACCATCGCAGGCAATAAGAACACTTGGGTGTGTCCTTTCTCTCCCAGCTAGACCCCACAGTTTTCAACAGCCCTGGCCGCTGCAGCCTTCCCTGGCAAACTGGCCACAAAATGGCAGAACAAGCAGGTGAGGAGCATCAGATGGAAGACCTTCGGCAAATGGGCGGCTCGCTGACCTGTGGTGGGAGCGAGCTGGGCTTGGATGGAGCCTGTGGATGTGTGGACCAGCAAAGCAGTTCTATGTCACTGGCTGTGGGACCCAGAGGGGCTTCTGTCCTGTGCTGTACGTCTTGATGACTCAGGGTCACAAGGGCTGCACAGTGAGGGAGGACTAAAGCACCTGTAAAAACTGTACCTCTGGTAAACTCATATTTCACCCCATCTTCTGGTCCACAACCTCTCCTGAGAGGGATTGTCCCTGGAAGGAAGCGCCTATGTTTGTACCAGGTCCATTCCCCACCATATCCCATCCTCTGTCTTAGATGGTGAGAAGAGGGATGCAGCCCACACCAACCCCTCCCTCATGGCATGCCATAGGGGCCATGAATGTCCAGCGGTCCGTCTCTGGGTCATACATCTCCACTGAGCTTAGGTTCGACTGTCCATCATAGCCCCCTACAGCATACAGGCGCCCACAGCTGGCCACAAGGGAGACCCGGCTTCTCCGTGTGTGCATGGGTACCATTAGGCACCACTGATCTGCCACAGAGCTGTACATCTCGGTGATGCTGAGGAAGCCAGAGCCATCGTAGCCTCCACAGACAAACATCTTGCTTCCTAGGGAGGCAGCGCCATGTCGACAGCGCTTGTTAAGCATGCCAGCTGCTGGGTGCCAGGTGGCTGTGTGATGGTTGTAATGCTCCACCTGTAGTGTAAAGTAAAGGACAGTCAGAGACAAAGCCTGACCCGTAAGTGGCCTTGCAGGGCACAGAGGCCCATGTGGAATCAGACTCTGGGGGATCCTGGAGAAAGGAGCTTGGCCAGTAAGCTCTGGCTCTGATGCTCTTCCTTGGCTGTGTGCCTGCTCTTAGGCATGTGGAGGCAGTAAGAGAGGATCACCGAATATGACTTCTGGGTATATCCAAGGATGCCCTGCTAGGTAATGACAGAGCTGGGATAGAGCAGAATCTCTGGACTGTCCAGAGGGCTCTAGGGAACTATTTTTAAAGGCTATTGAGCATTTAAAAAAAATTTTTTTTGGTGGTATTGGGATTGAATCCAGGGGTCCTTTACCACTGAGCTATATGCACAGTCCTCCTGCCTTAGCTTCCTGTGTCGCTGTAGCTCAGATTATAGGTGTGTGCCACCATACTCAGTTGCTGCTGAGCTTTTAAAAATCATAATTATAATTTCAAACAAAATATCCAGAAGAGTTACAACTTTATTCAAATTCATGCTTACTTTGGGTAGAAATTTCAAAAGGTCTTTTGCGGTATTCCACAGACAGCTAAATGGGTTTGGGGGATAGCAGTGACTACACTTTACCCCTCCTTTGTGAACACTGGCTCTCCCTCTCTAGAAATTAAGTATTTCCGAGGATGAATGACACAGGCTGAAACCTCACTAGGTGATGTTTTATCCAGCAATGGCAAGGCTGAAATATTCCTCAAAATACTCTCAAAGATACAAGGAGTAGGTGCCCTTAGCCCGGGAGGAGCTCAAACTCACACTGTTGAAGATCTGCAAACCGTCATGGCCGCCCGAAACATATATCCTGCCCTCAAAGATCGTAACCCCAGCAGCACTGCGGTTTGAGCTCATCGAGGTCACCATTGTCCACCTTCAGAAAAAGTCAAAACAGGAGGAGGGAATGAGATTCAGTTTTCCTGTCCTCCTAAAACAGCTTAGCAAGTTCCTATGAACTGTGCTAGGTCTCCTGTGCCCTGGACAATCTCCCCACATTTTTTTTTTTTTTTTGACAGGGCCTCACTAAGTTACCCAGGCTGGCTTTGAATCCACTTCCCTCAGACTCCTCACTTGCTGATGCTAGGATTACAGGCTTGTGCCACCATGTCTGGCTAACTTTCCCTACCAGTTATTGCCTCTCTGACCACTTCTGCTGATTCTCTGGCTTCTGCTTCTCACATGAGCTTCAAACCCATAGCCCAAGTTCTCTGTTCATCACCATGAATATCTCAAACCGTTTTTCCTATACAGATGCTCCTCTGACGAACTCACTGGTCCTGTTAGTGGAAGCTTCAGCTACCTAATTTCTTTATTTATAAAACCCCAGCATTTATTTGGCTTTTTTCCTCACCCTCAACATTCTTGTGGCCCCTAAGTCCTGGCTGGTCTGTCTCCTGGTCATTAGTTGTCCCCATTTCCACTGTCACTGTCTAGTTTTGGTCCTTACTTGGACCAAAAAAATCTGGACTAAAAAAAATCTCTTAGATGGATTGGCTTTCCGACCTTTCCCACTCAAAACTCATATAGCCAGGGGAATTGCT